TGTTGAATGTGTTTTCTGATGAACCACAAAGTGAAAATCAGTGATTTATGGGTGCATTGTATTTAAGAATTCCTTTTGAATTATCATGAGCAGAGTTGAATACCTCCTTTTGCACTCTTTAGAAAATGAAGAGACTCACAAAATTAAAACATGATTAGAAAGAACACATCCTTGGAAATGTTTTGTGTACTAACCATATTTTTTTCACAAAACATTTATAACTTCCACCAAACCACACAATGAGTCAGGTGAGATTATCTTACATTAGGTAAGGTTAGGTAAGGTTAGATTAGGTTGTATTATTTCTGCTTGTAGTGTACCTGACTTTTCAAGGTAGGTACATGATAATTTTAATTGCAATAATCACCTTAAAATATATATTGGCTAGCAACCTAGATAAAGGCTAGGCCACACATGGCAATTAAATAAATATTAAAAAAATTGTTTCATACTTTCACATCGCATCGTAAGAAACATTCAGTTATTTACCTTTGGGGCTCGGGCTGGGCGGTGGGTGAAAAGTTGAGAATTCTTCTTGCCCCTCGACCACCTCCTCTCCTCACCCGTCCTCGTCCTCTCCCTCGCTCACCAGGCATCTTCACCTGGAAGGTAGGCATACAGAAATGGGCCAGTCTGCAAAACGTGGCAGGTCTTGACAATATGTTGTCAGGGCACACACCACAGGTTGTGGCAGGTTTGAGGAATTTTGGGGCAGAAGCAAGGAAATCTGGGGCAGAAGTTGAAAGCTTGTCACAGCATTGATTCATTTCGCTTCTCATACTTATTAAATGATGCACTTCATCATTATATCATTTTCATCATATTTATGAGGGGCCCTCATGAAAGGAATTGGGTTGCCCAGGTCTCGGCATTCCGCTTGGGGCAATGTTTTGACTGTCCCAAACATCTTGTCACGGATTGAGCTCCCTGCCACACTTTGAAGACTGGGAAATTGGTGCTGGAATGGAAACACTATCAGATTCATGACAATTTTTCCAATACCATAGGTATTTGTTATCCAAATAGCACTTGTCTCAACTTAGTCTATCACTATTCATATAAACCTGGAAATAGTCTAGCTTTTAATATCACATGCCAAAATACATGTATATATATACCTATCAGATGAATCAGAATTGGAATATTTTAAGATATAGATAACATAACTCATTAAAACAGGCAATTCCAAAAGCGTAAACACGACATACATAACCAAAGCAAGGATCATTGTATATTTCAATTGTAACATGCGCGCCGTTTATGGCGACAAAACCCGCTTCCATATCTTATGACCTTGAAGTCTAGTGATGTGTCAACATTGTCGCTAGACATTATCCGATTGATAATTTATGATAATCGATAATTTTTTTACGCGATTCACGTGATGATAGCTTGCCAGGTGAATTCTAAAATTTCGTTTTATCCAGGGAAAAAATCATGGGCCGATCTGAGAAAACTTTTTGAAGGTGGCAGTCTTCCTTTAACGGAAATTTCTGAGCATGAGCGGCCGGCCGGCCGGCCGGCCGTGGTCACGCTTTTGCGAGGCCTATATCTCAGCAACCACTTGACCGATTTGCATGCGGTAATTTTTGTAGGGTAGCTTCATTCCTTCTACCAAGTATTGGACTATTCCCGATGCATGTGGGTGACCCCTTATGCACGTGCCACGTGCAAGACGAAGAGGTGTCACTTTTGTAATAGTTGCAATATCTCGGTAACTACTGGGCCGATTGCGCTGAAAGTTGGCATGTAGGTAGGCACCCACTAGGCAATGCATATCCATGTGCCAGAGTTGGGGTGCTGCTGCACGTGCGCACGTGCAGGGGTCGATTCCAGATCTCGAGAACGGCTGGACCGATTGCGCTCGAATTTGGTACACGGTTACGGAGCAGTTAGTAGGGTGCCGTGCACAAGTCAGTTGGGACCCATTTTGCACGTGCGCACGTGCAGGGTGCCGCTCCCAGATCTCGAGAACGGCTGGGCCGATTGTGCTCAAATTTGGCACATCGCTAGAAACCGGTTAGTAAGGTGCCGTGCACAAGTCAGTTGGAGGTACTCCTCGAAATTTCGCACGTGCAAGGCCCACCCTCTCGCTCGCTCCGTTAGTCGCCCCAAAAGGCGTTATACTGGTTTCTAAGTTGCAACCATGGCACTGCTGCTTTGTGGTAAGCTATAGCTCACACTGCTTGACTTCAATAAATTAAACTTCTTTTGAGCATGATGCCGCCAACGACAATAAATGCTTAAAGTACCTATACGGTGGGATAAATTTGAAGCAGAAAAGTAGGCATTTTTGTTTGATTTCAAAACAGTTACCTATATGTGCCTAAGTGCAAGCTGCATAATCTTATGTACAGTCCACAGCAGAAGTAATGTGCGGTTTCAGTCATGGGTATGTTCTGCTTCTGAAGCTTAGGAACGATTAGCCAGACTACAATGAAACTTTGAATGTAGCTTATATGTATCGTCACCCTTGCAGCTGCAATTTTAGCTATTGACATCTTCTTTTCGATCACTCCGCATTAAACAATCGGCAGTAAAAGCCAATCGTTGAGATTGGTAAAACCCTACATTACTTTAGCGGTGGGCTGTACCTACCTTAATCACAGAGTGGAAGCCAAAATGTCTACGCTTTGTGTTAAATTCTAAGGGAATGCACTTCCCGCATGTTGCAAAGCATAGATATATCACACACCAGCAATTCATGATGCTGTATCAATTAATCTAAACTCATTTTGACAGTGATTTATGTGAGTTTGAATTTTTTTTTCATGTCACCTGCGAGCATATGAGCTCGTAAGTTACACACATACTTGGTGATAGCCTGAATCGAAAAAGCTGCGGGCGAGAAACTCACACAGCATGTTGAAAGATCCTCACTGCCTCTTGTTTGACAATGTGTCATCAATTAGCTGGTTATCAGTCCCAATCTGGTCCTATTATGCAATATGCATGCAACATCTTGTATGTGTTAAAAAGCTTATCGACTAACCGAACCTGCCATATCTGTACTGTCGCTGTTCCAAGTCATACGTTGATGTAACAACTCCGTGCAACGTCACCAGCCACGTCAGTTCAGTCATCACTGCAGGCATTATCACTGCGCGGCCGGTCCAAGGATGCAGCGTCGAGGCGCCTCGGCAGCGCAGCCGTACCGGAGGTTTTTGTCGGAGCTCGTGAGGAGTCGGCGAGGCGAGGAGAGTCTCTGGTGACCGCGGATCGGGCGCAGAGTGTCGTGCCCGCTCTCCGGTCACGTAGGCACGGCGGGTGGCGGTGTCACCTGCGCCGTGCTGAGCCCCGGCGCAGACGCACACTTCCTGGTTGTCCCCTATAGCCTCCGTCACCGTGTGTTCCATGTCATAGGTGGTGCTTGGTGATTAGCTATGGAAGATACAAAGGTCCCACGTGTATTGTTAACCATTTTTGGTGCAACATTCCTATATAGTTTGTGGGAGAGGCAGCTTTTTGGTTGCCGACTCGCAAACCATCGTGGTTATATGCATGGGCCATGGAACATCTTTTAAAGACAACTTGATTGTAAACCATAAATCTGAATTGTTCTTAGCACTGTTTTGAGAGACATGCTCAAACGTATAATCAAGTAAAGTAGCCGTACACTCGTAATAAATGTCCAAATTTCGTAAGAAAAAATTCGTGGGAGCGAGTTGCAGAAGGCTTAACCCGAAAGCTCCTCAGAATTATCAGGCCTTTTCTTACAAATTTTGGACATTAATTATGAGAGTACGGTCACTTTACTTGATTATAGACAAGGTAAACCATAAATAATAGATTTTAGGTCATGCAAATTTAAGGCTATCCTTTTCAGGTCTTCAGGCAAACTTACTGAGAACCACGATCAAACTCCGAGGCTGTTGATTAAGGTGAATGTGGATAACTAACTAGTTATAGGATGCCCGTTGATTTACTTTAGAAGTCCGATGGCGACGCTTTCGCTCTTTCCACCAAGGGAGAGGGGGGGAGCACATGGGGGAAAACGAATTAGTCAATTTTTAGCCGGATCTCGACAGTTAAATATTAATTGCTGCGGTCACGCACCTATGCCCTCGCGACATTGCTACAAGTAGGTATAGCTCACTGTCATCTTCCTTCATATACATGACGAATGGGTGCTATTAGCACCATCTAATTACCTTTTTCTAGCATGAACCATTTTCCTCACTATTGGCGTGAGCTATATTTAGCTATAAAACGAAGCTGAAACACCATATTACGTCCAAGAAAGAGCAGTAAATCCAGAAAGGTGAGCCTCAAATGGCTGCGTGTGAGGCCAGGAATGCACTGGGTATAGGTTAATCGGGAAGTGCGTTGAACCACTTTCTTAGAACCGTCTTGAAATCTCTTCTGAGCTCCCACTTGGAACGGAGATACTAATGCAAAGGATGAGCTATTTACGCGTGGGGAACTTAAATGCTTTTATATTTACGTTCGCAATTTCCTTGCCGGCGTTTAGTTTATTCTATTTTTGGTTAATTGATGCTTGGAGTGTAAATCATATCGATTTAGGTTTAATCAACCTGTTTACACTCATTTCACTTTTGACGTAGGTTTATGAGTAGTTAATCGATAATTTGTCACCAATACTCAAAGCAGCTTGGTTAGAGTGTGATACGCAAGAAATGGGAGATGGTGCTTTTCAAAGGCTCTATGGATTTGACCTGGGTCCTCGGTACAATTTCGTAAGCCTTCTAGATATAGGTAAATACCTAAAAATAAACTTAGAAGTAAACACCAACGGATGTCGAAACGTAAGCAAGAAAAAATAAACATACCTATTCAGGTATAGTGGCTCCCCATTTCGGCCAGTTTGACCCTCACCCCTACTTTTGTTGCGCAAGAAGTTGAACATTCAAAATACCTGGAAATTTTGATCGCGGGACCTGATAGAACGTGACTCACACATCCTTCTCTCGTAGCCGGAGGTCCGACCCGGAAACCCCACCTTGCCCCTGCTCCTCCACCTCCTGCTCCTCCTCCTTCCAGCACCCTCTGGGCGCATGCGCGGCGGCGGCGGAGCGACTGTCGGCGCGCGAGGCGGTCGGCGCAGCGGCGGCGACGGCGTTCACTCGTCGAGTCGCGCCGATCACGGCAGCACGTGCCGCGCAGTGAGTGTCGCCTCTGCCGACCGCGCCTGCAGCAGACCGGACCTGCAGACAGGTAGGTGTCGACCTCTGAGCACGCAGAGCGGTGGGATATAACGGTGTGGGGTCGGTCGGCGCCGCGGACCGCTCGTCCCACCGCGGGGAGAGAGAGAGAGAGAGCGGGGCCAGCGACGGGCAGCTGGAGGAGCCGTTTTCATCACTCGCTTGCACAACTACTGACGAGGGAGCGGCGCCGCCATGCCGTGCAATTCTCCCGGCTGTGTGCCATGGGCAGCCCCTGAGGCCCTGTGGAGTCGGCAGGGCGGGTCCCGCTGACTCCGACTCGCACCAGGCGACTCCGACTCCAACGACTGAGTCTTAGATTTCTGCGTGAATCCACGGACGATTTTTAGGTGCCGCTCCAGCGATCCTGCCCACTGGTCCATTCACGGCTACGCTCCGGTGCCGCCGTTGGCTCACATATTTCGGCTGGAGCGGTCCGGCGCTCTCGACCCTGGTATTATCGAGGCCACTGGGCCGCCATTAAATACGGTGCCATTCGTTGGTAGGGTTCTAAGTTAGATCTTCACGTGTATGTTGGATTGTGGCAGAAATCTGATATTTCTACGCCCCGCATGGAACCGTTACTATTTTGCTTTGCCTGACATACCATGAGCCGCCTGTGAACTGGTCTGAAGCAGTTTGCTGTCGCATTAATTGTCGACATTTCCATACTGGCCGGCCATGTCGACCTCTGAGCTGCCGGCGCTCCGGCCCGGAGTTAGGTCGACCGGTCCAGCTGTCTGGCTTGAGATGTGGCGATCCGGCCACGGTCACGCCCGGGCTCCGGACCGGCCAATTACGCTGCCGTGTGGGGCAATCCGTCACCTTGGCGGGGACCGCAGCACCGGGCGGCCAGGACGGCGGCGGCGGCGCACGGCTCCGAGCTGACCGGTCGGCCGCCTTTCGCTCTCGCCGCAGAGGGGTCACGGGCCCACGGCGCGGAGCCAGCCGGCGCCGAGAGCGCTCCGAAAGCCGCCGGGAACCGGCGCTACCGCCCCCACCGGTCGCGAGCGGCCACCCGCACCACGGCGCTGCGCCGAGCAGAGGAGAAATCGTGCCTGCTCGTGAGGTAGAGGCAGGCAGAGAGTCGCACGAGCGGCCCGCTCGGGCGAGCTCAGACAGTGCGGCGGCCACGGTCACCCGAGCGGGCTCCGCTCGACCGGCACGTGGAGCCTGCCCCGTGCTCAGTTCGCCGAGCCATCGGCATTTGATGGCCCTTTGTGGCGCTGGGTCGCGGGGTTCGCAGCGGATTACAAACATCTGAGGCTGTAGGGTGCATAACCACCCCACTCCCTAAAACACCGGTCTCATTGTAACCCAGATCGTCATAAACGCCCTTCAAAGTTCACCAAGCACGGGCTACCCGATCTTCAAAGATCAAATCCACGATCTCGGTAAACTGCTCGGATCCAGTATCACCAGAGATTTCCATGCTACCTATGCCGATGCCGGCCGGCGGTCTATTCGTAGCCCACTTAGCATGCATGGTCTCCGGGCCCGCGCGCCGCTGAGCCGCCTCGGCGCGCCGCGCTCGGCGACTCCGACTGTAAATAGGTCAGTAACTTGCCGCCGGTGAGGCCCGCCCGCCAGCGCTCGCGCGCCGCAGCCGCGCCCGCCGCGCTGTGGGTTTTGGCGGCGGCTGAGGCTGATCGATCTGACGAGGGTGGACCCTGGCCTTGCTGAATTTGAATCGAGCACCGGCTGCTGCCATGTGTAAACGGCGCGGGTTGGTTGTGTCGTCTTCAAGTTGGTCAGGGTCTCGGCGTTGGTTGGCGCAGAGGCGGAGGAAGAAACAGAGAGCGGGGAGGCTGCCGAGATGGTACTGGGGAGAGGCATGAAGGATTGAATAAGGACAATGTCAGGGGAATATTTTACTGATAACACCTTGAGCCATTCGTGATATATTCAACTGGCTAAAATCGCCATGACTTCCAGAGCGGCGCCAGAGTAAGACGGGTGCTTTCTAAATCGGTGACACAGGACAGACCCCGCAGCCAGGGGCGCCGCGCAGCTCCCAGTCGAGCTCTGTTCCGGTGGCTGAGTGTGGACTGCATGTTGCAACGGCGTCAGTTATGTCAGCGGTCGGCGGCGCTGGCCCTGGCCGGCCCGTGCCCACGGCTGGCCGGGCCTGGGGCGGCGCTGGCCACACCTCGAGCGCAGGGCGTGGTGGGCACACCGGTACCAACCGCCGCGGGACGAGGCGCCCGGTCTGGCACCCAGAACCAGCCGCACACGCTCAACCGCCACCTAAGGTCAAACGTCGCTTACGCAACTCCCGCCGCGCCTTTCGGCCGTCTGTCACACCCACCGCGTCGAGCTCTATCTGCCGTCGGTCTCGACGGTAACGCACGTCGGACGTGACGCGTACCGGCAATGATATGTCACGTCACGATGCGCGGTGTGTAGTGGTGATACGAGGCGTCACCAGTCACCAAGGATCACTGGAGCATCAGCACTTGCGTCATGGCTAGCTGTTTGCCAATCGGCCCCAGTCCTGACACAGCTGACGTCACTGGAGCTCACACCGTAAACAGCCAATCACTGGACGCAATGTCGGCGCCAGTGACGTAGAAATGGCGATGACAAAAGGATGGTGCTGGGCGACAGCTTTGTTCAGACTTTCGGCGACCGTTCCCGTTCTGCACGGCGAGTGGCCATCAATCTTACAGAGCCGCCACCAGTACCGTTTAGAGTGTCATGTAGTGAAACGATTGCATGAAATACACGTGCGCCACGCGGCCCTACACGCCGAGACAAGGCCGCATGTGTTGGGGACATCGCATGTAAGAGAGGTGCACAACCAGACGCTATTTCACAACTCCTCATGGGGCGCATTTGATTACCAGCGCAGAGGCGAGTCCAGCCGCTCGAATCACGAAGGCCTCCCTCGTCTGTTTGTTGTACGAGAGATCAGATTTGGCAGGGCGTTGATTTTGAACGGCCAGTCTCATAAGTTATGGCATCAAACAAAACGCATTCCCAAACTTTGGACGCACAATGGATAAGTTATGTTGCTCTATTTCGTGCCCCCAGACTCTTATACCGACTACCAGGGACTCATATCTCCCACAGCTTCCACAACAAGATCAGCCGATGTAAGTGGGCCACCACAGCTCAGGACATCTGATAATCCAGGCCCATATCTGGAGAAACACGAGAAATGCGTACGCGCAGGCGTGGTGCTCAGATTATAAGTTGAACTTGTTGTTGCGTTGACCCACTGGCCCTAATGGCCTCAGGTGCAGGATATCATCTAAACCCAGTTGGAATGAAGCACATAACAGATATCGAATTTCGGGACGAAGGACCGTTATTTATCTGTTGACCGTCGGGAGCTTCTCGCTGGCTAAATCTCGTAAGGTAGGTATATCCATGGCCGGGATGCGAAAATTCGTTTCAGCCGCCGTCGGCCGTGCTTTGCAGACCTTAGAACACAAGTCCCAGTGACCCAGTCGAGAGGCATTCGTCAGCAGGCGCACGGTTTGTCGAGAAAGCGCCAGTCACTGTCTCCATTGTCGGCCTCTCACAGACTCTCTTCAGCCGCCACGCTGTGGACCGTTACGCAGCTTCATGAGCGCTGGATCAAAATAACTACGCCGCCATGGGTCAACGCTCGCGCCTCACTGAGGCTTTTTAGTGTTGCCATGATAGGCGAGCGCCGTACAGCCATAGAAATCTTTGGCATATGCCCAACGTGGGTGTCAAAGCTCCCAGCAGGTGGATGAGGCTTGCTCTACATCGCACGCGGATGTATGCGTCTTTTAGCTGATATTCGAGGATAGCCTGGCGCGCACCCACTGGTCAACTAAACGAGGGAGTCTATTCATAGTTTCGCACCCCCACCAGTTCAAGCGTTGACAAAGGTCATCATAAGTGATTATACCTAAATCCATTTACTCCATAATTCATAAATTCTTGCTAAACAATCTTATTGTATGCAACGGAGCTTTCCAAGTCAAGCAGAATGGGCGTTTAGATACACAACGCTACGGCTGTTAACATTAAAGGATATAAAAGCCAATATGCATTGCACTTTCACCGAGCAGGTGCTGTTCGGATCATGACGATACATTTCAGCATTTCGAGAACCGCTTCATTTCAAGAGGAATGGAAACATGGACATGGAGAACCCTGTTAAAATAAAACCAGCATGTGAATGGCAACTTTATCCGTCGGCTTTATTGCTCTCAGTTGTGATAGCCTAGCGAGTAAAAGTAACGGATGAGACTGCACTTATTATTATTATTTTTTATTATAAATTTGGTTCGAACCTTTTGATGGGAAGGATTCACAAGGACAGAGCCACCGCTAAGCGAAGCTTGTTGCGGTGACCCTGCCCTCTACCCTCCGATCGCGCCATTCCAGTTCTATGGCAGAATTTAGAGTCCAAAGTTTAACGTGCGCACATAGCCGCGCACGGCATTTAATATAAGATATAAGCATTTAATTTAAGAATGAACTAGAGGATGAAATACGCCGAGTCTAGTGACCATGGAAATGATATGCTCACAATCGTTCGTTTTCAGCAATGCAATGGATAAATCCTCCCCCTTGATATGAAGTCTATCTCAGAGATCAAACATTACATTGCATAGCCTTGAAGGCTGTTGCGACAGACCGATTTAAATGTTGAGCAAGTGTTTAATATTTTAAGCACCAGCCCTGCAAGGGCCTTTAGTTTTGATTACGACAGGGAACATTTTCATGCAGCTGCAATAGGTATCTTTCTCACAGGACTGGTTACGATCGCCTGAAGCCCATGTTTATGCCAAAGTAAAGTACTGCTCAGATATAGTTTATCTAGCTTATGTTACACCATAGACTACACTGATGAGTGATGAGGAGAAGTCAACGACTACACACATATACAATAATATCCATGCCTTTTCATTCTTTGTGTTGTCTTAATCATGTCGATAATCTTATTTGAACAGGACCCAGGCGCATGTTAGTTGTAACCACACCTTTACAATTACTGGGTTAACGTGTGACATTCGCCCCGTTTTAATTAGGAACATTCCTCCAACTATTGTCCAGCGTTAGGCGAAAGTGAAAACGGGATTACCGGTATCTGTCAAGAGTGCTTTCGTTTCGTTCACATCTCCGTTCTCCAGTGGCGACAATGACCGGACGTGCGTCCAGCAGCCTGCTGTCCCATTGAATAAAACCTACCCGTCATCGTCGCCATTTAATGCCGGTCACTGCCCCCTCACGTGTGCTCTCGGTTCCCGGTTCCCCACCCCCTCCGGCGACCCCCCCCCCCCCACCCTCCAGACAGTTACTCAACATCTCGGAAGTCACGACTGGACCCCCTCCCCCCACACCTTTCGATACACTCTCTCCTCGGAATTTCGCTTACGCACGCTGTCAGCTCCGGTTCGCACCTCGAGTGTCTGCGGGAGGGGTGGAACCAAATCGCCTCCGGTGTATTCTGTCTTGAATGCCCAATGAACAGTGAAGGTGGGTACCAATGACTGTTCACCAAGTGAAGTGGTGCCAGTGAACGAACTTTGGGAGTCTTCTTCAGTACGTGATCACTGCTCAGATCACGTCTGGCTCCATTAAGTTTGACAACTCACTCAATGTCCCTATTGATTTCAATGTATCCAAGTGGTTGCAGCAGATTAGTTTTAGACAGGAAACGTATTGACTTCCGTCGGGAACAGCCTGTAATTTACACAAATCAACTTAGACTGCATCATTCTAAGATGCATTCGTCCGTCCGTAGCAATGTCAAAATGAGCCGAATGGGTTGGCTAGTTTTTTTTTTCTACGACTCTGAACTGCGGATCGTATGACGCCAGCTGGTGGCTTCGCGGGTTTCATTGCGCAATCGGCCAAAGGCAGACGGTATATGAAATCCATGTCACTCCATCGTTCTGGGCAGATATGTCTCGATTTGGCATGAGCATAACGGCAAAGACTGCGTAGGTGCGGTGGGTGGTCCCTGTTCTTCGCAGACATGGCGAACCCCTACGACTGAGAGTGAATTTCAACAAACGGTTACGTAAAAAGTGTGCATGCATAATATATGTATCTGTGCGTAGGTCGATTTCCTAAGATGAATACTTACGAGGTACATGCATCACGCGAATACCTTACTAAAGGGTACATTGCACAATGGCAATTTTCCGGAACCCATCCAACTCCTGAGCGGACGTCGGTGACGGACCGGATGGTGATACAACACCGGCGTACCCTGCAGGTATGTCAAGGCCAGGCAGCATCGGACGGCGACGGGGCACCTTACCAGGTGTCACGTGACACCGAATAGCTGCATCCTGGCCGCCTCAGGCGAGGGTCACGTGGCGTGATGCATCGGTCACGTGACACGTCACGCCAGGCGCCTCCGGCCTCCGATGTCACCCTTGATCCCGGAGCCGTGACCTCGAAAGGGCTGCGAGTCGATCAACCGAACAGTGGACAAACCGCAAGTGCGGGGGTCCGGGGAGGCCTGGAAGAACTCTGCGAGGGGTCTTCAAAGAGGGGTCTGAGGGCCACCGGACAAGCCGATCGTGCCTGCACGTCCACCTACCATCCCTCCTCCCCGCCCCGGTCCTTTCTATATCATCGCCACCCGACCGTATACGCACCGGACGTTGCTCAACACTGCCGCTGTTTCACACTGCGCCCCGACCGTCAGACGACGAACCGATAGGCTGGCGTCAGAACTGATCAGTATGCGTCCTACCAACGCGTCGGATCTGAACTGGGCCTTGGTTGGGAGTGAGTCCCGACAGCGACACGCGTATGTGGACCGTTACGTCAGAAAGTGTGAGGGCTGGGGAGAGGTGTTACGTCAGGTGGTAGCGTTGCCCTGAGGCAGACCACGCTACGAGATTGCTCGTATGAGGCACGTGGGGCGAGAGAGAGAGAGAGGGAGAGAGACAGAGAGAGAGAGAGAGAGAGAGACAGAGAGAGAGAGAGAGAGAGAGAGAGACAGAGAGAGAGAGAGAGAGAGAGAGAGACAGAGAGAGGGAGAGAGACAGAGAGAGGGAGAGAGACAGAGAGAGGGAGAGAGACAGAGAGAGAGAGAGAGACAGAGAGAGAGAGAGAGAGAGAGAGAGAGAGAGAGAGAGAGAGAGAGAGAGAGAGAGAGAGAGAGAGAGAGAGAGAGAGAGAGAGAGAGAGAGAGAGAGAGAGAGAGAGAGAGAGAGAGAGAGAGAGAGAGAGAGAGAGAGAGAGAGAGAGAGAGAGAGAGAGAGAGAGAGAGAGAGAGAGAGAGAGAGAGAGAGAGAGAGAGAGAGAGAGAGAGAGAGAGAGAGAGAGAGAGAGAGAGAGAGAGAGAGAGAGAGAGAGAGAGAGAGAGAGAGAGAGAGAGAGAGAGAGAGAGAGAGAGAGAGAGAGAGAGAGAGAGAGAGAGAGAGAGAGAGAGAGAGAGAGAGAGAGAGAGAGAGAGAGAGAGAGAGAGAGAGAGAGAGAGAGAGAGAGAGAGAGAGAGAGAGAGAGAGAGAGAGAGAGAGAGAGAGAGAGAGAGAGAGAGAGAGAGAGAGAGAGAGAGAGAGAGAGAGAGAGAGAGAGAGAGAGAGAGAGAGAGAGAGAGAGAGAGAGAGAGAGAGAGAGAGAGAGAGAGAGAGAGAGAGAGAGAGAGAGAGAGAGAGAGAGAGAGAGAGAGAGAGAGAGAGAGAGAGAGAGAGAGAGAGAGAGAGAGAGAGAGAGAGAGAGAGAGAGAAGTAAAGTAGAAAGAACAGCAGATGAAGCGTCCACGAGCTTGGAGGAACCTATGATGTGGCAACAAAAGTACGTTTACTACCAGAATAAGCACTCGTTTTGGCACTTGGCACATTCGACAGCATATGTGAGCCAGTCCATGATGCGCCGCCATGACGAGAACAATACAGAAGCCGATCGAGGCAGACCAGTGTTCCAGTTGTTCGGCCGAGTGCGTCGAGCACTGTCGCCCTTCAGCCTATCCAGTTCCGGTACCGTGAGCAGTGAGCACTTTCTCAGAACACGACTCGGTGGCCAGGTGGCGGGACAGATGACCACCGGGATGATGTTCAGGGGTAGCTGAGGCATCAGCTGTGCAGTATGCAGCAGACCCCTTCTCTTCCCTTTCGCTTAACGGAGAACGTCTTTCTTGGCACGAGTGGTCTTCGCGCTGTGATGAAAAGCACTCAGTGAGTTTGATTTTCCATGCGTTGTTATGAAGCATTATGTGGTACATACTGGCAATCCTGCTGGCTGTACCCCAGGGGCATGTCGACTGACTTTCGCTCTGACTCACATCCACCACCGTGGGTCGGATTGTGGGACCGCCTGGCGGCCAGTGACGCACGGGAGGCCCGAACGGCCTGAGGGCAGTCCCTTCACGGCCCACCGACCACCCTGTCTGTTTGTGTCACGCTCGTGGTAGAGAAAAGAAGCCGAAATTAGGTTGGAGGCTCCACGATGTCCATAGCATCCTGCGTAGCGCCACTATACTATCCCCGCAGCAGCGGCGACGGCGCTGGCGTTGAACGCACGCAACGACCATGGGAGCTCCAGCAGCGCCAGTTTCACCCCCTTGGCGCCGCGCAGTCTGGCCCTCTTGCAGCAGTGGTGCTTGGCTAATTGCCGCCTGAGCTCGTGGGTGATTACCTCCCAGCAGGCTGGCAGTTTGAAGGAAGGGCACCCGGGGCAGGCACGCCCATAAGACTTGGAATAAGTTGGCTAAACCAGCCCCGGGGCTATTCCGAGAACCGTGCAGCGGGAGCCTAGGGAGGTCCTTTTCTCGGCTCACCGGACGATGAAGTCCTTGGGCGGCGCCTGCAGCGAGCCACGCAGCATCCGACATCTGGCATTCCACGCACGTGCATGCGATGTGGGTGAACCTTGAAGCGGCGGCGGGCGGCGGGCGGCTGCGGCGGCGGCGGCGGCGGCGGCGGTGCGGGGACAGGGCTCGAAGGTCTGGCCGAACAGCGAGTCTGGCCTTGGCCAGTCGGGGCCGGCGCGGCCCGATCGGCGACCGGGCGTCTGCAGCCGGCGGCCCGGCCGGCCGGTCATTAGTCGGGTACGCCGGTCGCCGCCGCCGGCGCCGTCTCGATGCGATCGGCCCTCGCACGAGGGCCGGTCGTGAGACGGCGCGAGGGCGACGGGTCGGTGAGGGCCGCCGCCTCGCCAGGTCGGCGGAGAGGCGGCGTAAGACGAGTGGCTGTCAGTTCAGGAGGGCCATTTCTCATGGCGCCCTTCACCGCTGGGTGTCAGCACCTGGGCGCGCCCAGCTGCCCCCCCCCCCCCCCGGGCACCAATGGGCGATGATAGACGATGCTCCTGAGACGTACACACGTAGCCGCGCCCACATAACGGCACCCTACACAGCTGGCAGTGTGGTTTGATGGATGGGTAAAACGCTGAGTGAGGGAAGTTGGTGGTATTTCGACTCGTTCGGTTGAACCCCGGAAACATTTTCGATCAATGCTGCGTGCATTACAAATCTCACATGTAGGTAATTAATTCCAGTCATGGTATGCATGTAACGTAGCCAAGATGAACCATCTTCCTCTGATGAAAAGCTCCCCGTGCACGGTATGATCAGGCCTTAATTATATAAAGACTAATGACAATGCAAAGCCAACCGTTTATTCTGGCCCTCGCTCTCTGATGAGTCCTAAACACCGCCTATGCTAGCTCCGTCCTCACCAGCTTCCGGCCTGTTCTGACTTGCACCTGTCTGTCCTGCAGGCGCTCGAGGCCCACTCTGCCGTCACCATGAAGTGCAGCGACAAATTCAAGATCGTGGACAGGCTGCTGACCAACTGGTTCAAAAAGCTCGGCCACAAGGTCGGCGAACACCCGAGCTACTTCATCATCATCCCATTCTTCTTGACGCTGCTGGCCGCCACCGGGTCGCAGCGCATCTACTACGAGGATGACCCCGAGTACCTGTTCTCGCCGGTCACCGGACGCGCAAAGCAGGAGCGCGCCATCGTCAAGGAGTTCTTCCCGGATAACTTCACGCGCTTCAACCCCAGCCGGATGACCGATCTGGGGAAGTTTGTGCGCCTGCTCATCACCGCCACTGACGACGGAACGCTCATACGACCGGAGGTATTTGACGAGATTGTCCGCCTGGATTCCATCGTGTCCAACGTCACAATCAGTAACGGCGAGCGCGACTGGACGTTCGAGGACCTGTGCGCCCGCTGGGAGGGCAAGTGTCTGAGGAACCCGATCGTGAAGCTGGCACCGTACGTGCCCGATGTTGTGAGCGGGAAGCTCAACCTGACGTACCCGATCTGGTTCAGTGATAACTATGACATCTTTGTGTTCCCCGCGTCTCTGGGATCGCCTGTGGTGAGCGGAGAACATCTGCAAGAAGTGCCGGCCCTCCAGCTGCTCTACTGGGCGTCCAACCACACCGACTTCGACGTCAATGTGTAAGTACTTCTTTCCGTAAAGCACTATGCTAACATCTACACAATACACAAAAACGTTTGTTCTTTCAGCTCGTCATGGCACTAGTAATCAACGTTTTTCCTTTAAGGTCATTTGGTCCTCTACATCTTGTCCAACACCTCTGCTCAAGCCTAATCAATACAGGTCATGTCTGTCGAATGTCCTTGCAGTTGCTTTCAATGAACATAAAGCAGGATGGCATGCCTCTTCTCATGAAACTTCCAACGTTCTTGGATTTCCCGTCAGCTAACCGCACTTCCCGTCGTCCATCTTGAAACAGGAGCGCGTACCGTAGTCTGCCGTTAGGCTGGCGTAGGTAACTGTTCTCCGGTTGCGGTGGACAACAGCACAGCTGGTATTTACCACACAGCGGACCCAAGCTCCGACAAACACGCACATGTTTGTCGTTTGGGGAGACGTCATGCGTGACAGTCCCTAGCAACCACAGTCCTTCAGATGCTCGGCTCAAGATCTTGTTCTAGGTTAATACCAAGCAGTGGTTGCTGTGGCCTCTCAATGGTTGTTGGGATGGTGCATGCCTTCTGAATAATTTATTACCTGCCTTGATGAGGTCTCTGTACTGTACGCTTCCGGGTGATATGCTGGGGTATATATGCCGATGCTTAAGCCCATAAGCAGCGCTAAGCCCCCGTCGCTATAGCCAGATTATCAGATTGTGCCGAATTCCATAGTGATCAGTAATCACGGCATCGTCATCACGACATTTACTGTGAATTCGTGACTGGTTTCGGGGAATTCAGGGAGTTTCGGCCCGGATCAATGGAGATGAGGGAAGGGAATGTAATGGGTCTGTAGATTAGTGACAGGATTGAAGTCCTCAGCGGTGCCATGTCAGAGACATAATGGAGCGGGCAGCACCTGGTCCGACGCTCGGTGTTCAATTGGCTCAGTGCCAATCTGTGGTCACGCGATGTGGTTGGGGGCAGGGGGAGGGGGAGGTCGCTTGTGGTAGTCTTTGGTTTACCACGCTCTCGAATTGGAGCAAGATCACACCCATATTTAAACGTGAGTAATGCCACAGGTATACAAGTCAGAATTCCGTGAAAGTCGCCCTAGTAAAGCTATCAATCAGCAGAATCAAAGGTTTGAAACGAAATGCAATCAATGTAGCAGGACAGCAAAACTAACGTCCGGTTTTCGATTCGCAAACTAATAGGATATCTTGGAGCTGTACCGATGGCACCCGGAGCCGAGCAGTTGTCTCTGTGTGTCAGTTGGCATCCGTCTGTACCGTTTTGCGGCCGGGCCTGTGAAGCGAACCGTTTACATTCACCCCATATGGCGCAACGCGGCGGGCCGAGCCAAGGTCCCCGCCGGCGGCGGGCGGGCGGCGCCTGGCAGGTAGGCTGGCCCGCACCGGCCGGCCGCCGTACTACGGCCAGACCGGTGCTCGGGAGGATGACTGAATTGGCCTAAAGATGACTCAGAGCCAGGCTTCGTGTTGCGTGATACTCGTAAAATAACCGAGCCCTTTGTAGCCTGACCCAGTGACAGAGCTGCCTATATGCTGTCGCCCATAAAAAGGAATTAAAACGTTGGCAAATATGATGCGTCTGAACCGGTATTGCATCTCTTGCTTCACGAATACATCAGCTGATCTTCCAAGGTGAAGCTGTCAACTACTGGTTCATGTTTCCCGACAGCCACCTGCTTACCAATGTTTCCGTCCTGTCGATCCTGCAACATTGTAAATTTGCCTTCAAGGACGACCACCGAAAGCGAAACCAGACCGGGCAACAAGCGAAAGTGGGCGAAATCAGTGTTCAGTGGATACGCGCGTTGACATTCACGTTCCTATAGTAATCCCTTCACACAGACAAGCGCCCGCGCGGTCCTGCAGCTGGATCCGAAAGCGGCCTAACCAGAGTGACGCATTTTATCAGTTCCTCGCGTCTCTCAACACAGCGACAAGCGCGGAACACAACTACTCGTGGCTGATTTTTATCTGTCGAACGCGTGTTCTTTCGAAACTTGACCGGCAGCAAGGCGTAGTATTGACCGAACGTAAAGCAAGTCAAATGCTGGAAAGAAGCTTAGTGCTTAGATGTTGCCTGTCCAGCCTTGCCCAACGCCAGCTTTCCTAATATTTCAACCCATGGTTTAACTCTAGTTGGACATTGACTGTTGATCTTTGTCTGCATTTAAGCTTAACCCGCGCCCCGCTGGGGGGGGGGGAGGCAGAATCTGCCCCCCCCCTCCCGCATTTCGCCAATAACTTCTAAACGCGTTACGCCAGCGACGTCAAACTTTCAGTATCTTATCATACATCAATTTGACACGTTCCCTGAAAATTTGAGCGAAATCCGTCGGAATTTTTTTGAGAAATTGACGTTTTTGTGACGTCATGTTCGCCATTTTCGCCTCAAAAACGGCAAAATTTCAAACGCAGCTAAAATCTTCATTTTTAAAGGAATCAAGACGTAACAAAAAGGTTATACGTGATTCTACTTTGTCCATCAAATGGCTATCTCGGTTTTTTGAAAATTTTGGATTTTGGCCCAATTTTTTTTCAAAAAACTGACTTTTTTGGGAAAATAATGATAAAATCCAAAATTTTGAGTGTATCGAAAAAACCGGAATATATGTCAGAGAAGTAGTCTATGTGCACCTACATACCAATTTTTAGAAGAATCGTTTCAAAAATGTGGGAGTTATTCAAAATTTATGACGTCACGACATACAAAAATTTAAAAAATGTCTTTTTTGGAAGTTCTACACCTCGTACGGAAACAAAAATAGCACCATTCGATTCGCCGTGAAAAACTGCATCGGATAGACACCTTTTTAGGCCTTAACTACCAACTTCAAAATTTGACCTCACTTGACCTGACCTTGACCTGACCTCGACCTGAAATTCATCCAGAGGTGGTCCATATCACTTATTGAGTGTGCCTATTGAATTCTATGAGTAAAATGACCCATAAAACATGTGTCGCACATGCCCTTTTCTATATTTTGTTTTTGGTGACCTGACCTGACCTGACCTGACCTTGACCTTGACCTTTGAATGACATTGCATGCAACGAATATTGTCTTGGTAGTCTAAGAACACGTTTTGGGCAATCAGTCTCAGTCCATTCTTCGGCAACTACGGTGCAAGGCCGATACTGTAGAAACTTGCATTTTGTACCCTTGACCTGACCTTGACCTGACCTCTGACCTACTTAAGCAAAAAAATTTGGGCTCCTAAGATCCGCCTTGTTGAGAGCTCTCGATTGCCGTTTTCCCCGTTTTTCTACGACCATCGGTTCGGAAGTTAGACAGGGGGGGCAGAATCTGCCCCCCCCCCCCCCAGCAGGGCGCGTATGGCTGAATAGCCCAGCGGGGCGCGGGTTAAGGCTCAAGTTTAATTAAGCATAGCTGATGTCATCAAGTAGCAAAATGAAATAAAATCTTGTTAGCTTCAAATGTTGGACTAAACGGCTTGCGCTAAAATCTAACAAGAGAAGGTGTCGTGTACTGCTCGTTCCACATTTTTATCGACTGTTCAACTCCACCAATTTAGCGCTAATTGCACTGCCAGCGCCCAGCGGTCGGTTGACTCAGCAGGTCCAGCTGTGACATAGTTCTACGATATCAAACAGAATAGAATATGTATGCGCTGCGCTACATTCTCAGTTATCATATCAAGCGACTTAAATATTTTATCCACACGTGCGGTGTTAAAGAAAATTAATGATGGCGCTTATGCAATGAACGGTGTACGTTCTTAGTTGTCTTGTTCGTCGTGCGTTTCTTTCAAAATTACCGAGTTTGTCTATGATAATTCGGGAGTGAAATTTGCGCACTTCTCCCATTCTGATCTGCCCTTGCAACTTTCACTTGCTTTTTCTTACGAATAAATGTTTTTTATTTTGTTCACGGTGACATTAATTCACGTGTTTAATTACAACTATATGACCAGGAATGCTTTGCCTGCTGCGAGATGGTACACTTTGTGGAGAAGCGGTAGTTGCGTGTAATGTTACATCTAGCTAATAAGGCCTTCCCGAGCGATTGACGATTGAGACATCAGCCGCTTTACTGGCGTAATAAGCCTAATCCGATCAGCTTTTCCACTATTAAGCATATTAACCCGCGCACCGACGGGGGGGGGGGGGGGCGCATATCCGCCCCCCCCCCCCTGAGGTTTTTGGCGAATAGCGGGAAAACCGGTGCGAAGTTGGCGCAGACCCCCGTCGGTGCGCGGGTTAAGAATTTAATAATCGCAGGCAGTTCCAACAAAAACCTGTTCTTTGACGTTTTTCGTCACTAACCTTCAGCCCAAGTCGTTTAAGCTGTTTAAACCAATTCCCGTTGGATAGGACTCGCGTTTTAGCTCATAGCCGGCACTAAATAGGTATCATATACCACAGTCTGGTTCGGTCCATAGCTTTTTTCTTACTGCAGGCAGGTGCGTGACATTTAGCCTGTGCCAACCTGGACTGCCCGGTAGCTAGTCGTTACATAACCCTCCCCACGTGAGACTGGGCCCAGGGAAACACGGCTCGACACAATAATCCCTCGTCTATATTTCAGTACAGTGGTTCGATAGTCGTGACGGTTAGCCAGTTCAACAGCTTCGGAAACTCAGCCGGCTGCGAGGCTGTCCATTCACGTTGCCATGGTGATATGGTCGAGTGTCGTACGTCACCATGACGACTGTATGTGAACACGATCAAGAACAGTTCAAAGGGTCGCTTCGTGGTAAACATCGATTGCGCGGATTATATAAAAAGTCTGCGACGCAGCTCAGGACTCCTGGACACTGTCCAGACTGCATGAGAAACTGCCATAGATACCAGCCTTCAGCAACATTCGATGCGTATCCAGCTCGGCGCTCCAGCTCGACGCTCCAGATCAACATTCGTGAATTTCATAAAAAGAAATATTTCTAAAACCTGGAGAGAGAGAGAGAGAGAGAGAGAGAGAGAGAGAGAGAGAGAGAGAGAGAGAGAGAGAGAGAGAGGGAGAGAGAGAGAGAGAGAGAGAGATCCTCTTCTTCGTGTCATTAAATATGCACTCGTACCTTAAACATCGCAATACAAAGTTCATCCGCTTGGCCAACAACGGTAGATAGACGCGTGTGAGATCCGATCATCAATCATAATTTAACATAAACAAACGCCTGCTTAAGTATACCTCACAAACAGCCAAACCCCGTACCGCGCGCAAGGCATTGTGCGCTGTTGAAGCTCATTCTTAGGCGTTGCATTGCAAGGAATGCTAGCGACCCTCGCATTGGAATCCGCGACACGCGCTTTTTGTCACGTGCTGCCTATAAAGAGGCACTCTCGGCCACCGTTCGTCGTCTACAAATGGGCCGCGTTGCGCTCCTCGCTACACCGCTGCGCCGCCTGCACGGCTCTGAGAGTTGAATCAAAGAGCGCAGCGGAACTCGGACCCGCGTCGGCGGCCGGACGCAGCGGGACCCTGACCTGACAGCCGGCGCCGGATGGAGCCCTGCCAGTTGCGCCATCCAGGTCTCTCTTCGATCACCAGGTACCCGGACTCACACGTGTCCGTGTCCGTGTCCGCGTCTGAGTCCGTGTCCGGTGTGGACCCTGTGACCTGGGGCGGGGGTGACCCACCGGCGAAATCAGATCCGGTTTCCTGCGTGCCCGGGAGGTGTGATGATGCAGGGGCTATCCCGACGCGACGAAATAACCATCAAGTGCCGACGCCGTTGCACCATCTCAGTATATAACGGGACGGATGTGAGTGACCGCACAGGCTGTCGTCGGTGCCCGCGAGTTTCACTTTCGTCTGTCGTCATGGCAACCGTCCGGAGGCAGCACAACAGACGCCTCTCGCACGCCGCGGCCGCCGCGTATCCGGCTCTCGCTGATGAATAGACTCCCTCTTTTGGTATCCCCTCACTCTCCCTCTGTCCGTGCACCGGTCATTCATCAGTCCGGGAAAACCCAACAATTCGGTGGGGATTCCCCAACCTGGGAAGATGAGTTTAACGATCACGTTCCGGGTTCCTCGCTTTGTGTTGTTTCTCTCGTTCTCCCCCTTCGTCGTCTATTTCCCTCCCTTCCCTCGCTGGCTCCGTTGTGTGCCCTCTGATTAGGACCCCGCCCCCTCCCGGATGCGTTGCGTTAGCCCGGTTCCCGGCGTGACCCGCTGCGCCCGAGCCGCCCACGTCTCAGAATACCGTGTCAAGGTAGCGGACCCACCAACCCGCAGTCCTAGTTCCTGTGACGTGGTAGACGACAGGACACAGGGCTCCGGCGCGGGACAACGCCGGCACGTCGGCTGTGGTGCCGCGCGACGCTCGTGGGGGGCGGGATAGACCTTCCTGGGCGGATGAGAGACAGCGGGAGATTAATGGTGTCCTGAGAATGGGTCATGGGAACTCTGTGCTAATGAAGGGAACAGCTTCGCGTCGAAACATGATGTGATGAATGGCGGAACGTTTTACGATCCCATTCAGGACCTGAGATAAGGATTTTGGGCGGGATTGTCAGCCAACCAAGTGCATTTATTCTTAGTGGTCGCGTCGGGGATCAGGGCCATATTGCTTCGACATGCCTACCTTGGGGAGTACGCGATAAGCTCATTGCTACTTTACATATGAGACGCGAACCACCCACTCTAGCATTAGCCGCCGGGCTTCCCAGCCTCGAACACTCGGGCTGGGTACGCGCGTCACCACTTTGCATCTGCATCACGGACGGCCGTGTACTGCGACACGGTACATGAAAACTCCGTGCTGGGACGCGAGCACTTCGGCGCTGGCTTAGTGCAGCTCAGCACCTCGTATAGGTCCGGGTGCAAAGTTCCACACGGCAAGGTCTTTCGAGCCGTGACGACCACGTAGTTACTGCCGTGAGGTCTCAGCAATCACCGTGTGACTAAACAAAGCACCAGGTGCCGACATTCTTCGTGGCGATAGAATTTTGCTGATGAGCCGTTTTATTTGTGCTGAATTGGTCAGACCATGTCAGGTTTATTCTGGAAAGCTAACTGCAATTTCCTTGGTAGGACACTGGTGCCGCCTTTCACCTTTATACTTAGGGGCGTTGTGTAACCTACCAATAAGCAATGCAGCACAAATAATGCTTTCCTTTCGTTGCTACTCGTTTATTAGCGTATGATGTAACCAATCTAACGCTCTTTCTTCCTCCCCCAGCTCGCTGCAATGGGAGACCGAAGTCCTGCGCGTGCTCGAGGAGCACATCCACACGTTCAGGCACATCCGGATCGCTCGGTTCCGCTCTCAGACTCTGCAGACAGAGCTGGAGGACAACACCATCTCCATCATGCCGTTCATGTTCGCCACCGTGGCCATCATGGTCATGTTCTGCATCGTGACGTCCATGATGGGTGACTGTGTGCGCTCCAAGCCTCTGGTCGGTCTGCTCGGAGTGGTGAGCGCCACCCTGGCCACCGGCACCGCGTTCGGCCTGCTCATGTACTGCGGACTGCCCTTCATCGGCATCAACCTGGCGGCGCCCTTCCTCATGCTCGGTGAGTACCCGAGGTACACGGCGTACCCGATAAGTGCTTGGTATCCCGAGCTACACGCCGTACGTACCTGATGAATACCCAGTACCAAAGGTACACACAACACCCAATATATCCGCTGAGCTATATACTCAATTTATTGCGCGCTCAATATATTAGACATTTTCCTGTGCATCTCCGACTGATAAAGGCTGCTGCAAAGATGTGCTAAATGCACATTTCGAACCTGTCAAACCCCGTTAGCAGCAACCGTTGGCTATTGGTGCAGGACTATCATTCAGTCATAGTACATTATGTAATATGACCGAATGACAGGATTTTTCCTGATCTGATCCTTGGAATGAACGGTACTCAGACCGGTTTGTACCCACTCGTAGTAAGTCCTTGTCCAATGATTACTGGCCGTGCTATTTATAGAACTGCGCGAAAAGCCGTTCCTATTCATAGAATTTCCCGGTTTGCATGAGGCTACTGCACGCCAGCAGGCATGCTAGATACGTGTATGGTATGTTGTGGTTATGCTCGAACATGAACTTACGATTTGGCTTAGGGTAAAACATGGCGTTTTACCTGTCGGATTTAACATTTTAATCTGGCCATGTGTTACAATCACAGGGAGAACGTCATTTTGTTTGATCGCAGCAAACATGGAGGCGAAATCACTGGAAATCTACTGAGGAAGTAAGGATATGACGTCACTACTGAAACATCCGTTTACGGATATAGTGGGTTTGTGAAGTCTTTTTAGGTGTTCGAATATCGGGAGTTTTCTACCATGAAGTTCCCGTAATGTGTTTCATGACACTTTGATGACGTTAGATTAGGTAGAATTGGAATCATTCGTTCAAGTAGTAGGTATCATATTTGGACCGGTTTTGAATCAGATGATTAAGCTTATTATTAAGCTGTGCGATTAAACTGATTTGATCAGACGCAAGATCACAGAAAAGTGCGCCACAAGCCAAAAACAATTCAGCCAGTTTCAAAGCTGTCTTAGTTCTAATCCCGTAGATGCAGACAAAAACAATGTGCAACATTGCTTTTCAAATAAAAATCATACCACGCTGGGGATCAACTGAGACCCGACGCTTCCCAGCACGTCCCCACTGGTGTTTTTAGCCGCGCTGCCGGCGGCCTCTTGCAGCCGCCTCGCTGATGAAACAACCTCTGCTAGGTCAGGTTCAAGCCCGCACACAGACAACTTTTTGCCACTCACCACAGTGAGTTCAGGGTCGCCCCACATAGCCTGTTGACATTGCTCGGTAATAGCTCGATCCTGGAGCCCGTTACAGGAATGCGATTCAGTTTCTCCTCATGGTTTGTTTACCAACGTGCTGCTGATGTGGCTCAGTTCATTTCCATCGCTTATTTTCGTAGCTTTATTGTTTATATGCTTGATTGACAGCACCAAAGTGCTTATCGTAAGAAGATTGACTTGAGGAATAATTTTTAACACCGCCCTTTAGCTTTATCAATTATTCATTCATTCCTTTCTGTGAAAGAGGTGCTTATGTAACTTATACCCTTTCGCTGTCGTGCACGACCAATTCTCCACTACGTGGTAGCCGGTAGGAAGGCTGTAAGGTCAAAACGAATAAACAATCCCATATTTACGTTTAGCTCACTATTTATTTACACAACGCTTTAAAACGTTTCGTGTCTAAATCGTATCATCGTGAGTCTTCTGTCTTTGTCTGCAAATAAGAAAATATGTGAATAAGTCACACTGCAAAACTCAGTGTTTTCCAAATGAACTCTATCATTAATTAGCACACCTTGCATAACACGTATCTCATACTCCCAACCGCGCCACATGCAACTATTTAAAAAGCGTGATACTTCATTTAAAGCAGCACTGTGCCTTCAGTGCAGTGTCGATATTCAATTCCTGTGACGCAGCTGCAGTAAATGGCGCCAATGTTATGTCCCGCTGTGACGTTTTTATTAGGGGAAACCCCTTACGGACATCACCAGAAGACATATGACGATGCGACAACGCCTCGAGTGCTTCTGCGATGAATCAAATACTTTCAGAATCGCAACTGGGCCAAGGTGCCAATATATTCAATTGTGTGGGAAAACTGTGGCATTTACCCAGTGGCATTTACATTTGGGAAATCACATGCATTCACGCGGTCAGTTGGTTTCCTCCAGCTGTTCACTTAACTCAGCAGTGAAATATGTTACATAATCTTATAAATTTATGCTAGGCTGATCTTTTTTTTTGTCACCCGTAAGCCATACATAACTATCCGTTCAACATCATTCTGTGAAGTCTTTTTTTTTTGTCTCGAGTAAAAGACTGCTATCTTGCCTGTGCGGACAGCAGCACTCTCAGCTTGTATGAATGTCATGTGGCTGATAGTGCGCGGCCAGCCTTGTGTGCTGCGCCACACGACGCCTCCGGTGCGCCAGTTTTTGTCGCACCGGACCGCTGAAAACGGTGCCGTCCGCGGCCCGCGGCCTATAACCGACCGAACCGGAGGCTCGCTTCAGTTGTACGGACGTTGTGGCTCACTACGCGGACGTTGCGGTTTACTGCATGGACGTTTTGGTATCCAGTTAGGATTATAATTAGACAAAGGAAGCCCCAAGTTTCCAATAATAACTGTGTTTTTAGGTGGTGAAAGCAGAGCAGAGCATTACTATGCCTGCGGTGAGAATTAAGTGGCTATGATTTATCAATGTTGAGTCAATTCAATGGGAATCATCAGACTCTCAACAGAATTTGATAAGACGAGCCAGTTTTCTATGAATCGCCCTCCTCCCCTTCACACCGAACAATTTCAGTGCGTTATATCCTCCAGCTGCCCCCTCCCCTCCAGGACCCGGTTCGAACCGGATCTTCGCTCCCCTCTCCACCAATCTTCACCGGCCGTCGCCAGCCCGGCGCCGCCTTGTTTTCTCGCCAGTGCGAGCCGGGGAAGGGATTCGTCGACCGCTAAACACTGGGGGTAGAGGGCTGGTGTTGGGTGAGGGGGTGAGAGGCTAAGGGGGGGGGGGGGGTCGGCACGTGAGCGGCCGCTCAGTACCGGTTCATTGGCAGCCGCTGTTGCCCAGTCGCGGTAGATACAGACATGGGAAAGTAATTGGGGCCGATTGGGTGGGAAGGGTGAGACTGGTCGTTATCCCTCCCCGTAACCACAGGGGCAGTGAGGGAAGCGGGAACCCGGCAGAGGCTTCGAGGACTGTCATGTCGCCGACCTCAGCTATGCGAAATTGCTTTGTGGTTTTGCATCAACACTGGTCTCTTTGTTAATTGGCCCGAGCCATACGTAGCGGGTGATCATTTATTGCGCGAGTCATCATGAACAACAGCCTCTTGGATGATGAAACACCGATACTTCTTTATCAAACCTCCGACTGGATAATTATATTATCCACAATCAAATATTATATTACCTTTGTGCGTGTTGTAAGTCAGGGTTTCCCATTTCCCATGCCTTTATATCACAATAGCCCCATCGGAGTAAGGTCGCACACATTCGCACGCTGTTTGGAAATTCACTGTGTGCTGGCTACTAACAAGGAGCCTCGGAAGCCGGCAAGCCAATAAATCGCCAATCAAATATGCCGCAGTGCGGCTAAAGTTAGCATATCCTTCGCCGTGAACCGCGTTCCATTGTCTGTGTGTGCGCGGGAGGGGAGGGGAGTGGGGAGGAGACGGGGAGGACTGCCCTGGCCCCCGAGATATGACCCTGCCGCCAAGGCCAGCTCAGCTCGGTAGGAGGGGCTAATCCATCTCTGGAGCTATCGGTCAGCTAGGTCCTGCCTCCTGGAGTGACCGCCCATCTTTCTCTCTCCCCTCCCGTCTCTCTCTCTCTCTCTCTCTCTCTCTCTCTCTCTCTCTCTCTCTCTCTCTCTCTCTCTCTCTCTCTCTCTCTCTCTCTCTCTCTCTCTCCGACCATCCTCGACAAGTTCAGTCGGGCTGGTAGCCGGCCGATGCTCCGTAGATGCCGATTGAGCCACACCGCTTCAAATATCTGACCTTGGCTTAGGCACGTGCCAGCTGTGATAATCAGGATTATGTTGAATAAGAATAGCGTTTCCTAACTTTGATGCCTGCTCCTGGTATTCACAAGTGCGCAACTTCTTAGCGCTATTCTAGTTAGTTACATCATAGCTGGCTCTGTAAGCTTAAGTAGACAATGATACTAAATGTGTAAGCAATAAGATTATTAGGTTTTTCGAAACTCATGAATATCATTTCTTGTCGGGCCGCATGACGGCTTTTTATATAATTTTGAGTCTGATTAGCGATAAATCCTCAATTATGAAAACATATGGCAATAGTTTGTGTGCAAGATCCTTAGTATGCAAAATATTCGGTGCTTCTTAACAAAGAAAATACCACCGTTATCTCGAAGTTGTTTGTCTGGGTCTCGTCGCACCCGTAAATAACGCCGTCTGAAGGTCTTGTGCACCCGACCCGAACGACTCATGAAATCACGTACACTTAATGCCTGGAATTCCAGCTCAGGCACTTAAGATATCGGTCTGAGGCTGTACGGCGAACAACTGGCACGAACATAGGCACATACTCGTACATGTTGTGACACCTATCTTGACACAAAACCAGTGGTAACACAACCTTGATCACATTCTCAATGCTGGAGACTGGTAGTAAACAATCCAACCGCAAGCGTAACACCAAATCCTGAAACGTTACATTTCCAAGACGTCGCGTAACCATTTCCCAACTGCTAGCTCTGCGCCGTTCTGGTTCCGATCGAGATATCTCCTGTGTGCAGCAGGAGAAACTCGCTTCTCACGGGTCCTGTGGCGGCGCCCGGTCTCTGGGTGCCGGCGGGCGGCTACGTGCCGCCTGTTCCTCTCACTTTCAGCGACCTAGCAGCTGGTGCGTCGTGTCCTGGGCCGACGCCAGGCCCTGATGCAAGTGGCACGGGCGGCGCGAGGCTTGCGGACCGGCCTTGCGGGTCGCCGCGCGGAGATGAGCCCCGGATAGCGCCCTATGCGGCGCTGCAGTCTCCGGCGACTGCAAC